AAGAGAAACTAAAAATGGGGAAACCAATAGTCGTTATCAAGACACATCTATTGGTATAAATAAATACGATATTTCTGAATAAGGAATAATTATCCTAAGATAAAATTATTCTTTATATATATATATATATATAAAAGGATAGAAGAAAAGGGTGATTAACTAAAAATATTTAAGAAAAATAAAAATAAGTTTTATTTACTGCGCTTAAGCACGCAAGTACATAAAATATTAAAAAATGCTTTCAAAAAATCTTTACTAACTTGAAAAAAACTAAAAATCAAATCAAAATTGGATGGAAAATAAATTAAGATTAGGAAAATATATAATTTCGTCATCAGCTCACAAAATTATATCCAAAATAAAATAGTGCTTGCTAATATTTCATCAATATAGCAAGAGCAAAACATATCAATACTATAGTGTGAGGAGCACCAAAAAAGAAATTTAACAAAATAGAAACCATCGGGAAAAAAGTGAAAAATAAAAATGAAAATTAAAAATAAAAAATGCAAAATAAAAAAATCAAACAAAAACAGGAAGCAAAAATTCAAGAAAATACAGAATAAAACGCAAAATATATTACGTAAAGAAAGTAGCGAATTCAAATGTACCTACAGGCATATTTCAAAAATGACTTAAAATGTTTTAGAAACAAGTTTACCATATATTATAAATATGAAAATAGAAGCATAAATAGAGGAAGCAAGATCGTAAATATATATCTATATAAAGAGAGAGTATTTTTAATGAGAGGTTGGAGAGAGATAGTTTTAATTAAAAATAATGTGAACTTTTTTTTTACTCCTCAGAAATACCTACAACAAATAAAATGGTTTTGCTATAAATTTCAGCTCAGCTTCAGATATTTTAAAGTAAAGGAAGAGATAACTTTTAGACCGAATGCTTCGGATTTTCGAATCAATTTAAGATTGTCTAGGTCAATGTCTCGTTAAGTAAAGGATCAGAATTCGCGTTTACGCAATTGTAACACACTTGTTTACGTAAATAATTGACCACCGTCTAAGTTATGGCTTATATATTTAATTAGTTTCGGTTCTGAAATCCCTCCTCCACCCCGCAGTTCATTTGATAATATAAAGCAAGCAAATCGCCAAGTAATATTCTTGCAACAGTTTATTGAAATTTCAAGCTTTAATTGTAAATGGTAATATTTTGCTTTGCACAACGAGTACACAGGTCATATGATCTGTGTACTTGTCGTACCTGAGTACTGTGTACTGTGACCTGTGTACTGTGTGACCTATGTACGTCGTACACTGAGATGATATTTGGTCCGACGTGAATGCATGCCAAACGCGATAAATTGTTTTCAAAAGCAAGTGATTAGCGTGTTTATTTTGATTTTGTAGAAAAAGTGGACGTCATTTGGTAATAAAGCATTATTTTTTGTCCCAAGAAAACAATTATCGTAACTGAAGAAAAGTATTCTGGTAACTTTGCTCCATCAAATGGTATGGTTCACAAAATTTCGTTGTGAATGTACGAACATAAAATATGCAGAGTTTTCTGGAAGTTCATTTCAGGCCACGACTAAGGAAGACCGCTGAATAGAAGCGCGTGAGACAACAAAGAAGGTAAACGTATCAAATGAGCGTGTATTCAATACTTTGCAAGAAAAGTTATCAGCAAGATGGGTGCCGAGATTGCTGACTGAGGATTAAAAGTGGGCACGTGTTACCATCTTCCAGCAGTATCCAGAAAAGTTCGAACACAATCCAAATGGTTTTTTATTGCGTTATATTTCAGATGATGAAACCTGGATGATTTTTATGAACATGAAAGACGATTTTCTTAGAGTGAATGAATATTTTATTACATCTTATATTCTTCACTCTGGCCCAGTACCTTTTGCCATCTTTATAAGAGTATCACGATTCCGCGCTCAAAAAATTAATTTTTTTCTTCTCTGGCAAAAAAAAAAACTAATTGAGACTGTTTTGAAACAAACCACGGACGCCAGCGCAATGGCGC